CGACGCGTCGCTCCCAATACCGCCCGCGCGGCCGCATTCTGGACCAGTTGAAGCCTCCGGATGCTCCTCATGGGGAGCCCCATGTATAGAGCATTACAGTAGTCCAGGCGGGAGGTGACGAGGGCATGAGTGACTGTGCGCAAAGCGTCCCGGTCCAGAAAAGGGCGCAACTGGTAAATCAGGCGAACCTGATAAAACGTTTATGGCCACTGCAGCATTCCCCGCAGCCACATAATCAAAATTTGGGCGCTTGGCAACTGGGCATGTACGGATAGTCCTCAGTGCAAAAAAACAGTCATAAGTCACTTTTTTCGGTGCCATTTGTAACTCTGAATGTTCACTAAACGAATGATCATTAAGTCAAGGACTCCCTGTATTATTCTGTTTTGACAAAATTAAGTTGTCAAACCTGAACACACGCTGGAAAACTTGCTTTGTAAGTGGGAAGTTTAATTTCTCACAACTGCAATCGTGCTGTTTGCCGGGATCTGGAATCCAGGTCTCCTCCTACCCCAGTGGGAAAGATGTTCCTGAGCAGCAGATTAAAAAAATGCAAAGATGTAATCAATGCTCCATCATTCTCTCTATCTCACGTCTATTATTCTTTCCTTTCCTCCACTGCCAGGCTAAATTGCCCAATTTGAAAGAAGTGGACGTCCGTTACACTGAAGCTTGGTGAAGATCCCTCCTGTTGCATTTGTAGATTTTTTTATTATTTTTTTTTGGACGGGGAGAGAAGAGAGAGAGTGCTTTCTAAACCATAAAAAAAAAAAAGCAGAGAACTTCAGACTTTTGGCGTTTGCCTCTAGAGAGCAGATCCTGAGGACCTCACTTTTTAGGTGCTCTGTGTGTGAAGTAGTGAAGTATGATTATTTTTTTTTCTCCCCCGGGTGGATATTCACACCAGACCTAATTCTTTCAGCTTCGTACTCTCGAATTCGACATCGTTTAAATTAAGGGGTTGGGAAGTGAAGAAGGCAAGACTGAAATAGCCTTGAAGAAGATTTGGGGTGGGTGGGGTGGGGGGGAGGGGAGGGTCACCTCTCGTTCTTGTTTGCTCTTTTTTTTTTGTACTTTTTTTAAACTGTGTGTCAGGGTTGTTGTGTTCTTTTTTTTTTTTTTTACACAAGAATATGCACCGTTTTTTTTTTCTTCTTCAGTTTTCCTTTAACCTTGGCCATTTCTGTAGATGCTTTCCCATCTCTTCTGTTCTCCGGCAAGGAAAAAAAAGAAAGAAAGAAAGAAAGAAAGAAAGAAAGAAAGAAAGAAAGAAAGAAAGAAAGAAAGAAAGAAAGAAGGAATGTAGGCGAAAATCACGAGAAACAGCAGCAGCAGCAGCTACGATTTCCTTCCTTCCCTCGTTCGTTTGGTCTTTTCGATCCTTATGCAAAGTGATGTTCTTGTATATATACAATTTACATAATACACCTATTTAAAAAAAGAAAAAAAAGAAAAGAAATAAGTTCAGAAAGAACAGGTCTGGGACCTGTCTTTTATTTATGAATTGTTAATTCATTGTTTGTTTCATTTTTTTTTTGTTTTGTTTTGCGTAGAGTACCGTGTAAACAACTTTGGCGTCTTTCAGTTGTTGTTGCGCTTAAAAAGACAGATCAAAAGAGAATTGCCCTCCTGTATTATATACATCCTTGGTCCAGTCCATCTTAACCTTTTGGGTTTATATATGCTTCGAATTTATTCAGCCAGGGGAAAAAGAATATACTTGCATATACCTGGTGCATGTCTGTGTGTGTGTGTGTGTGTGTTTGTGTATAGACCCACGCACATGCATACACACATACATAAGAGCAGAACACTTGAGTGGGCTGTTAGGGAATACCTTTTGCAATTCCTTAAAGCCGCGTTTTCAGATTATACTAGGTGTAGGAATTAGGAGGGGTAAATAAACCACTTCTGTTTGTGTTTATGATTATTTCTAAGGCTAGAGAAAATGCTTAACGTTTTTACCCGGAAGTGAAGATTGAGCGGTCAACCATTTGAGTAAGGATTTGCCAAAGTTTGATTTCTCTTTTGTGTCCAAAATTTCACCTTTCTGGGCATCCCCATTTAGGGAGATGCTTCCCACTGGTTCTCTCCCCAACTATGAGTGTGTGTTCCCCCTCCTCAGCACTCGGGCCCTACTGCCATATTGGTCCACAGCTGACCAGCAGCCCCATAGAAACTGCTGGAAGCTGCTAGGCCTGTTGGGTTAACAGGGAGAGAAAAGTTGGTTTACCCAGATGGATGTGACCTTTTGAGAAATTGACACTGAATTGTCTTTCCTGTGTTCAGTTTCCTGCTTGATCTAGAGCAGCGGTTCTCAACCTATGGGTCGCGACCCCATTTGGGGTCAATCGACCATTTCACAGGGGTCACCAACCAAGGCTGTCCGCCATTTTTTTTACCCTTTTCCGGCGGGTGCCTTACCTCCCTTGGGCTGGGCCAGCTGGTGGTCGGCCTGCTCCGTCTCTGGGCGAACGGTCGATGTGGAGCCGGCCGCGTCCCCCGCCTTGGTGCGTACGCGCCGCGAGGGCCCGTCCCTTTCAGGAGCTGAATGCTGGCCAACCCATCAGGAGCTGAATGCTGGCCAAATCAGGAGCTGATACGACCGGTTTAGTCCTCGACTTACGACCGGTTGGGGTCGCGGCATTAAAAAGGTTGAGAACCACTGATCTAGAGTGCTAAAGGCACCAGGCTAGAGACCAAGAGATGGTGAGTTCTAGTTTCATCTTAGATATGAAAGACGGCTGGGTGACTTTGGGCTAGAGCTTCTTTCTTAGCCCAGCTCACCTCCCAGGGTTCTTGTTTTTGGGAAAAAGAGGAGGAGAAAGGAGTATTAAGTATGTTCGCCAGGTTAAAACGGGATACAAATCTAATAAATAAATAAATCCCCCCCCCCCCGAAAGTATGACCACTATCTTACTTTTCTTCATCCTCTGATGCGATTACTCAGATACATGTTGTTGTTTTTTTTAAAGTGGTATCTTTTATAAATACGCTTTTGGGTTTGTTTGTTTTTTTTTCCATGCTAAGCATTCTTTCAATGGAACAGCCGCTTCGTCTTTATTTAAAAAAAAAAAGAATTAATAAAGCAAAGGTTTTGTCTTACGTTCCTTTTCAAAGTTACACAGGTAAAAATAAATAGTTCTTTCTCTGATGTAAGAGATTTTAAAACCAGGTATGCGTATAAACACACATGCGCATAAATTAAAAAAAAATCTTTGTTTTTTTTTTTCCTTTAATGTGGCTGGATAGTTTATTCGTATTTTAATCCCTTGTGTTTCTGAACTCTCTATTTTTATAACCATATCAACAACAACAACAAAAACGCAATTGGGTTTGAGTCTTAATTTGTATGTTATGGCCACACAAGTTGTGGGGGAGGACGTTCCTTGTTTGTGTTATTTGCCCAGGGGTGGCAGGTGTGTTTAGAAAAAAACAAGACGGTGCCCCCATTTTTTTTTAAGATGGGTCACAAGTACGATGGACTTAAAAGAGACTCGTTCTTTCAGTTGTGCGGCCATCTTGATTCCCTTTCCTCCTTTTTTAACACAACCCCGCAGATACTCCTGTTTTTGCCTTAGATCCCCTAATCCTGTCGGATAAACTCAGTGAGGGAGGGAAGAGACAAAACTAATGCCAACATTTTAATCCTTAGCTGCTTTTACTGATGGATTACTACTACTGTTCTGTAGCCATGTTTAAAAGAGAAAATAATAAAAAAAAAGATGTGAAATAATTTCAGGTGACAAAAAATAAATAAAATGTAACTGAATATGTTTTAGGAGTGTTCGCTGCCTTTTCTTTTTGAGTAGGAGAACCGGCCGTGCAGACGTTTTGAACCAGCGCAACCTGTAGGAACGTGGGACGTTCAAGACGTTCCTGAGAAATTTAAGCAGAAGCTAGTCTAGTTAGAAGTCAAGTCTGAAGTAGAGTGTCATGGTTCCAAAAAGAAGCAGCTGTCCAAAGAACTTTGAAGCTTATTTACCTTAAAGAATCCTTTTATTGCTACATAGCTTCGGCACGTACATAATGAAGCCAAAAACTGAAACCTCCCACCCTCAATCACCCGTAACAAAGCATAACTCACTCCTTCATTTTACAGTCATCAATCACGTTCTCCAATTAGTGTGAAGTGTGAATTGTCCCCCCCCCCACCTTACTCCTCCTGTTACAGCTGACCTTGGCAGTGCTGTGCTGAAATATTGTTATGGTTAACTAGCATATTTTCCCATCCACTAGGCTAGTATTGTCTGCTTTAACTCTAGAAGTGATATGCAGGCTAAATAAAACATGTTTGCTTCTTCACATATGGCAAGCAAGAACATCCGATGTTAGCAGTCTTGACATCGGGAAGCTATACCCCCTTTCCCCATGGGTGGTGTTCTCCCTATATTCTGGGTTGTGGAAATAAAATAACTGTAAATTGTGTTTCCTTGAAGACGGGAAACTATGGAACTATCTCTGCATGGCTAGTCAAGTGAAAAGAAGGACTAGGGGGGGTCTTCTAGCATATTCCAGTATTTGGGGGGGCTGCCACAAAGAAGGGGGGGTCAACTTATTTTCCAAAGCACCAGAAGGCAAGACAAGAAACAATGGATGGAAACCAATCAAGGAGAGGAGCAACCTGGAACTAAGGAGAAACTTTCTAACAATCAGTGGGACGACCTGCCTTCAGAAGTTGTGCTTCATCACTGGAGGTTTTTTTAAGAAGAGACTGGATCCACTTGTCTGAAATACTATGGGGTCTCCTGCTTGAGCAGGGGTTAGGACTAGAAATCTTCTCTCCCAACTCTATTCTGATTGATTGATTCTTAACAGTATCAGCTAGCACCTTGCACTAAAGAAGATAGTCGGAGCTTTCTGTAAGGGCTCTTAACTTCTTGGTCCTAAGTCTGCATGACAGAAGGATGGAAGATGGGAATTGATTTTGGAAACTCTTTTTTTCTGCAGAGTCATGCATTTCTGGTGGCCCAAGCTACAGTAACTTTCTTTAACTTGTTGCACTGAAGATATTGTTGGATAAGTTGGGCTAGAGAAATGGAGAGAGAGAGAGAGAGAGAGAGAGAGCTTTTCCTTTTTAATTAGAAAATAGAAAAGGGAGTGTAGCCTGTAGCTCAGCATGTTGTGGTGCCCATCCATGTTCTTCACATGTTTTAGTTGATGTAGTCCTGCTTTCTATCCGTTTTACTTGGCAGGACTGACACTTCTATGCTTCCTATGTCTCCTTCCTTCTGTGGGCTGAGATACCTTTTGCATAATGATTTTCGAGGTGGCGTCTCTTCCTTTCGTCTCCCGAGGTTGTTTCCACACACCATTATAATAGCTGAGTTTAAGTAGTAGTGGTGGTGAGCTAGCAAAGAATGTCTTGGAATAAGAGCCGTAGTGGCGCAGTGATTAGAATGCAGTATTGCAGGCTAACTCACTGCTCACTGTCAGGAGTTCGATCCCGACCGGTTTCAAGGTTGACTCAGCCGTCCATCCTTCCACGTTCGATGAAATGAGGACCCAGATTGTTGGGGGCAATGCGCTGACTCTGTAAACTGCTTAAGAGAGGGCTGTAAAGCACCGTGAAGCGGTATATAAGTCTAAGGGATATTGCTGTTGCTATCTTTCCAGAATTAAGCAATCAAGTTGCCCCGAGTCAAGCAGTGCAAAAGGTATCTTAAAACTAGATGTTGGCCATATGCACCCAATTCTAA